CACGCGCAAGAGACAGACAAACGCGTACCAAGGGTTGGCATAAGGACAAGAAGAAACTCGCCTTTGTATAAGTACAGGTCTCACATACACAAATTATATGAAACCCAGATTGCAAGGTCCGCGTAAGCTTCACGCAAGCAAATACCCTAAGACATGTCCGGAATGAGGAATATTTTGGAAAATACCGACTTGTCCAGCGCATGACCTCCAATCCTAAAGGACTTTATGATGAAATCCGCTAGATGTGAACTGGATTTATGGTGAAATGCCCATGCAAGACATAGCCTTCAGTGGGTCAATTTGAGATTGCCACAACGCGGTCACACACAATGCACGCTTGGTATGTTTGGAGCTGCATCGTCAGTTTAGCCATTGCACTTCGCATTAATCAAGCCGTTCGTCCTTCTTTCTTTCAATTGCAGATTGCAAACACCTTGTGAGGTATGACTGAAGTTTCTCGAACTCATTGTTGGCCACCATTATAGCCACTAGCCCGAGCCTGAACATTCCCAAGTGATGTAGATTCTTCCCACATCCCCAACATAGTTACTTAAATCAAGACTATACACGCAGAAGGGTAGATGGGTTCCATGATGGCTTTACTGTCCTTTGTATGGGAGGAAATTTTCTCCGTTGCATGGTATTTAGGAGTTCTCAAACAGACAAGCTACCGTCAGTGGCATGACAGCCAACCTAAGGGTCCATGAATGCACACTGTGTTTTAGCATAGCTAAAAGGAATAGCTTGCGTGACTCCATTTGGGGAAAGCAACTGTATTACCATAGTCAACCATATGTTGGCAGCTGCAGAAGATTGCAAACACCCTGACTCTTTGCAAGTGCACTAACAGTAGTGCACATGCAAGGAATATGGTTGTATATCCTATTAATTACATATGGGCTGCTACAGGGTGGTGATCCAACAAGGAACGTAAACACATGGGGTCCCAGAATGTATGAGCTGCATCCTGAAGTCATGGTATCTCAACCAGGGAAGTTGCGCAAGTAGCACACTTACAACATTGGAATTCCCATAGTGCCCTGTAGTGCCGTGGAAGCTCAGAATTTCGCACCGCCATGCAAGGCCACACTTAGCCCCATCTTTGTGCATGCAATCCCGAAACTCCACAAGGACCGTCAGTGAGAGCCCGCAAGATCACTTGCCCATCCTACAATAGCCCAAGCCTAACTCAATCTACTTCATAGGAATCCTGCAGATTTCATTAATTGCGTGGCGCCCAAGCCAAATCTGATATGGCTCGTGAATCCCATAAAGCAGCACCTGTCAAAAACAAACTATTACATCACACAACATATCCCTGTTTAACCCTATAAACCTTTGAAACCCATGAATCTGGCCAACCCTATATGAGCTATATAAAAAGTGTATATAAATTCCTTAAATTATATAGGGGATTATATAGAGAGTATTATAGGGGCTATATAATATATATAGCTCATATAGGTTTGGCCTGCCCATGGAGCCTGCGATTCTCTGATTTTTTGCTTTCACAAGCGGCGCTGTGATCTGAGTTGCTTGGCTTTCTTGATGAGTCGGGGCCGGAGAACACACAAGTATTTTTGGATGGTCCGCGTTGTCACCTTCGAACGATGACATGTCCTTGTGTGGTTCGAGTAGCACATTCTACAAACACATTCTTTTGCCAGCTAGAGGACACGAGTTTCCAATGGGGGAGGCTTATATGGAAGGGGTATATATAAGGGGGTGTGTATGAAAACCTTCGGGAAAGTGGGCATGAGAAAGACCATTTCTAACAAGGCAAGGTTCCGACTGATCCGGCCGATCGTGCCCACCCAACTTTCCGCGGCCAAAAGGTTATAATGGCCTGGATTGATCAAGCTCTGAAGTGCCTCCTCTAAACAGTGCTGTAGGTAATGATGTTTCGGGAGGATTGGGAACGAACTTCGAAGGAGTACTTTGCCCTTTGTCATGGCGCTCAAATATCGAAGGTGAGCGTAGCACTGAAGATGCAACATACCATGCTCATGTAGCAGGGAAGCTTCTGCTTGCGAAAGTAGTAGGCCATACTGATCCATCTGTCGCAGCATTGAGCAGTAAGACCAGGCACAAACTGCAACCAACTCATCCAGAAACGTGCGCCCTTCACGTTGGGATCTCCCAACAGCTTTCTCAGCAAGATAAAATGACACCCTTTTCCCGTTTATTGCCTTGGAGGCCAAGCACGGAAACAGTCCCCGGTGCTTTCGGTTCAGTCGTGAACATGTGAACCTTGGCTGCGTGCACTGCAGCTTGTTTGTCTTGCACCAAAGCTTGAAGTCAACGAACGCACGGCGGAGTAGTGTGGACAAACTCTGCTCGTAAATGCCATGCCTTGGATATTCACCGTATTCGCCAGCTTCTAGCAGGTAGGTCAGCACAGAGCCGTTAAGGACTTTGGACGTGCCTAGCAACTGTGAATGCGTTGTATCGTGCTGGAAGCGCTCCAAGGCAGTGCCGTACTGCATCGGGATGGGAAGCTCATCCAGCGGCTTCCTGGCAACATAGTCTGCGTTGCTGACCCGACCAAAGGTTTTATGCACTGAGTGTCTTGTGAAGTCCGTGAAGGTTTCGTGCACATTGTCATGCTTCTTGCACGCCGAACACAAGCTGCAAAATTCATCGGCCACCCGCTGATAATGATGAAGGTGATATTTTGTCTTGGCTCATGCCAAAATTAAAACAAATCATCTAGAGATACTGGCTTTGTGTTTCCCGGGCTTTGTGTTTGGATGTTATGGGCATGGCTGCAGGAACGCAGGAAGCAAAAAAAACAATATGTTTAATGTAAAGGGTTAACATACAGGATACAATGGAAGCGGGAAAATCTGCAAAAAAGTCGCAAGGTTCGTTGATCCACTTGAGGTCGCCGCGGCAGCCAGCAAACATGAACCTGTAGCCAGCCGCATGCCATGGGTGCTCCAGAGAAGGGTCCCCCATAGCCTGGAATTTCTTCATGAGATGCTGCAACAAGTCGTCGTGGGTGTGCTCGCACGCAGTGTATTCTGCGTAGCAGGTTAACAAGAAGTTCTGTAGCATTGCTTCGTTCTTGTATCCAAAGTCGCATCCCCATCCAAGTGCGGACACTGCCCCCGGATCAGAGTTCCTATAGGCCTCCACATCGTCCCCATACAGGTAGAGGGGCAGCAATCCTTTGTAGCATTCCTTTGGAATCTGGCTGTTCTTGAACCAGGAAGCGTTTTGTTTCGCATTTTCCCAAAATGCTTTCGCACCAGATGCACCTTGCGAACCTAGAAAGATGGCCTCGAAAAGGTCTGCACCTTCTCTCCATATAGCATGTGCAAGAGAAATTGGGCAAAGTACATCTATGGAGCTTTGTGTGATCTCCTCCGTAGCAGGGTCATACAGTCTGACTGGGACACTGTCCACGTGGATCTTCATGCTCTTGCCATAACGTTGCACAGTCGCCTGCAAGTCCCTCTCGGCGTTCTGCGGATGCTTTCCTGAAGTAGCTAACTTCGAAAGCTTCCACACAAGGTCTGTAGAGCCCACTTTCCCGCCAGAAGCTTTGCACCACGAAACAGCTTTCTTTGCAAGTGCTTGCACCTGCAGTATTGTATGATGAGCCCGCTGAATGAACGCATTTTCAAAAAGATTAACCTTGTATACATAAAGCTTTGGTACGCTCGAATTCGGACAATGCGTGAAGCCAAGGGGCATTTGCCGCACTGCTCTTCCCAATTGCATAGTTGCAAATCAACAGTTCACTGAAGTCACCAGGCTCCTCAGTTTGATCGGGGAGAACAAAAATCATAGAGGGGTTATAGTGTGCATGTTAGCATTCTATGGGATGACCAATGAGGCTTCAATATCCAGAACCCACAAAAATTAACAATTGCACCCAGGGTCTATGGGATCTTTTGTAAGTGAGCCATCTTCCACGCCATCCTCCAGTCCGCAAGTTGATTGGCCGCAAGGCACCTTCAAGAATTGACCCTTAAGAAAGTCTATATCAACCCGCAATCAACCTAATTTCAACCTCTCAGTGAAGCCCTATAATCGTCACTATATGAGCTATAGCCTAAACTCTTAGTATCCCCCTTAATATCCCCTATAGTAGTCCCCTATATAATCCCCTATATAACCCCCTATATAACCCCCCTCAGGGAGTTTAGACTATAGATTCATGATGCCAAAGAAGAGAAGAAGACCCAGCCCCACAAACGAATAGTATATATGCCCTTGTTTGGCATGCCTCGATCCGAGGCTTTTTGACAGTGGCCGCTTCGTCATCTTCATCTTTAACTGGCCGCTTGGCAGCAGCTTTTGCAGCCAGTGCCCTCGCCAGCTGCAGTCCTGCAAGCATGATGGTGGGGTGACTTTCTTTTTGGGATGTGCTGCTTGTAAATGCATGCAATCAAATGAGGATAACAGCATCATCTTTTCGCTTCTTGCATCTTTGCCATAGCATGTTGCCCCGGCAAGCTCGTAGGATCTTGTACACGGCCCACGAACATTGCGTAGTTTGCCCCCATAAGCGGGTGATTGGACAGATGCCCTTTCCTGAACTGTTCCCTGCGGATTCTGAAAGATTATTATAAGAACTTCTATCCCTACACCCGCCTATGCTCCATGACCCAAGCGCCTAGGTAGCACTCCGAATCACTCGTTGTCTTCATCTTCGTCATCAGCATCCTTGTCCTGCCGTGGCAACGGCAGCAGAATGGATCCGAGGAAGCTGAAGTTAAGGAGGTTTTGTCAAGGGTTGGCTAGGTTTATCATAGGGTTCTATAGGGTTTATATAACACATAGGGACTTAGCCATAGAATTCAGGTTTGGGGATTAGGGCTTGCAAGTTGCGAGCATGGGTCTTTATGGCCGTATCTTTCCACAAGTTTTGGGTGGTTTTATCTGAATGATAATTGGAAAAAGAATCGTGTCATGTAGCCCTAAAGGTTCCCGGGAATCTCGAGCATAGGATCTGGTTTTAGTGTGTAGAAAATATAGCTGTATATAGCCCATTAATTATCTAGACTGCATAGGGGGGCAATACCCAAAGGATCTGCAGGGTTTTTAGGTTAATAGATGAAAGGTTCCGCTTCTTGTGGAGCTCAACACTTCTGTGTTCTGTCATACCCCTATAAACCACCCATATTAGCCTGTATATAATTGTAAAA